TATCCTAAGGTTGTACAGAATATTTTGTTAGAAACAATGAAGATAGCAGGAAAGATCTGTGAAAATCAGGTAAGCAAGAAGAGTTCTGACCAGAAGATTCTCTAGAGTTGATTCATGAAATAACATAGAATGACAGGTAGAGCTCGCTATCCAACTTTATGCAAAATGACACAGAAAAAGATGAAATAGACTAGTTAATATAACAGATACAGGGAACTTTGGACTAGCTTCTCTACATTTATAATACAGCAATAAATTTTATTAGGTGTAATCACAGAGTAATGACCCTCAATTTCTTCACAAGTTAGCTCATATTCTTGTAATCTCGTTTCAAAGATCACTCTTGCCTTATGTATTCTTTGAAGTCAGAGTATTTAGAGAATAAGGAAAATGAAATACTAAATCCAAGATGAAATCAAAGGACTCTGCCCTACCTTTACTCAAAGACCAATTATACATTAACTACCCTCATGATTTTTAGAGACATATAACACATTTTTGGGTGAGGCACCACAGTATCTTTATACCCATTAACATACTGATATGGATCAAGAACACTCAATTAATGGTGGTTGAAACTCTTAACAAGAATAACAGAGTTCAGAATATTTCTGGCTGGTTGGTAAGAAGGTCCTTGAATGCACTCCCTTTCACCTCACCTTGACCTGAGGGCCCAGCAGGAGCTGACAGATAAGGGACAGGAGGCATGGAGATGTCAGCCCAGCACTGTGATTCTTAATCCTGGGTGTGAAAGAATAGAAAACTAACAAGATGGCTCTTGAGATGTTCAGGCCTGTACTTCTAGCTAAACTGATCTTATGACTAACACACTCCCCTCCCTGTGCCCTCTTAGAGTAACTTATCCTTTTACCCTACAGGTCTTGAAAGAAGGTCATGGACTAACCCTCAAGAAAATGGGCAGACCCTTCTAAACCTCCATAACAACAGTAAGTTCTTACCAAGATGAAGAGAATGTAACATCCTGTAAAACATCCTGATCGTTATCACCTTTTCTGTTCAATCCAATTTTTCTATAAAACGTCAAGACCCCAACCCCAAGATGGGCTCACAGTCTCAAAGGCATTAGCCTGCTATGACTCCCTTTGCCTGGCAAAGCAATAAAGCTGTTCTTTTCTATCTTCCCCAAACTCTGCCTCCAACTCTCAATTTGGCTATTGGGGTACAGAGGCCAGCTTTTCGGCAACAGGTGCACAGTATAATCACTTGGGAAGATATTTAAAATTACTGATTCATAGCCCTATGTTGTCTTCCTTCCTTCCACCCTCAAACAATTTCTGTTTGATTAGTCTGAGGTGGGATCGTGGCGATGGTATTTTTTAGAAAGCTCTTAGTGACTCTAATGGGTAACTGGAGTTGAGATATGTTGATCTAGAAACAGGGTTAATATTTCAAAACAGGTGAGTAGCCAAATGGGCTTTGACACCACACGTGATTGTGCTGTATTGCTCAGAATATGTGTTTCTCAGCAATAACAGTGAAGATTGATACAAGGCTGGTTGGCTGGGCAAAAATGAGAAGATTTTTGTATCTTCACTAAGCGTGGTTTAAGATT